AAAAAAAAAAAAAAAAAAAAAAAAAAAAAACTAACACGAATTTACAGATAAAAATGCAATTAAACTGTCATTTCAAATGAACTAGAACAATACTAACCAAGAATTCATACTTACCACAGAATAAAAGATATAAACCGGACCGATTCCTTAACTGAAAACGTCAAAAAATAAAAGAACTACCCAACAATTTAAATAAGGCCAATTGTAAGCAAATTTGAAAAAGTATGTGATAATGGAAGCTAACAATTTTCTACTGTAAAATAAGCAAATTCCAAGTAAGACTAAGGGCAACAAGTTAATGATTTTGATTTATAGCGTTGCAGCTGAAAAACCAAAAACTAATTATTTTCTTCGTTCCCTTCAGGCTCTTTGACATTTTCTCTGGCCTTTAGTTCATTATCTTGCGCTTGAATATTTTCGCCTCCTAAAAAAACTATTATTTAGTTACCAAGATATACGACAGCTAAAATTTAGCAACTTTTATTTTGAGAATCAAAAACTTGCACAATAGAGATCAAATGTTCAGTTTTTACTAATTCTTCTTCCATAATGATTTGATATTTTGCGAAAGCACATCAGAATTAAAGAACAGTAAATAATGCAAACCCGTGTCTTCTTGGAGTCTCTTTTTCATGTCGTCCTCATCATCATAAGTCTTCTTTTCATTTCCCAACTCAACCTGCTTTTTTTCATCATCGTGATTTATCTCTTTATCATTATCCTGACCATTTTTTACAACACCGGGAATGGCTAACACATTTTTATCTGGCTCTGAAATCAAAATGGCAAGAGCTAGCAACACCAAAATGCATGATACAAAAAGGAAAAAAATAGAAGTTCAAACAATTTAGCTCAAACTAGCAACATAGAATTCAAGCTGTGAAACAAACCATTTTTTTGAGTAACGAGACCTGGAGAATTGCTTAATATTTTTTCTCCCAATAACCTTTGGCGAATAATATCCTGTAAAAATTTAAAATTCATAGATAAAAGCTTACACTTCCAGGAGGAAAATAACATCTGCTGAGAAGTAAATGACTGTAAGAATTTATTCATACCTTGTTCATCATATCGTTCGTGTCTTTAATAACATTAGAGTTGCTATCCTTTGTAGGAAGCTGAATGCTGGCTGCCGACTGAACTTTACGAAGCTGATCTCGTAACCTAAATAGAAATTGTGATTATAATCACTTGTACAAGCAAAAAAGCAGTGGCGTTAAAACTAGCGACGCTATAAAATATTTTTGAAAAATCAGATCTTATACTGCAAAATATGAAGTTACAGAAATATTTACTCAGTAATAGTCTGGTTCATACGTGATATGGCATCCTCGTTATTCTTGTTTACTACACGTAGTGCCGAAAGCGTATTGTTCAACTCTTCCTAAGTAAGTAAAATTTCATCGGTTTGAAGACAGACAAAAACAATTAATCAATTTTAAACGACCGTTTTTTCAACTACGTCCCATGAAAACACCAAAAATATAAAAAAAAAATAAATAAAATAAATATTGTAAATGATTGACTAATTCATTTGAACAGAAGAATTGTCTGAAGGAATCATCTGTCAATGTGACAATTTCTAAAAATCGTCATATCAAGTAATCTGGGCCATCTAGACTTTGTTCAAAAAACATAAAGACTGAAATATAAACGATGAAACAACAGTTCATTAGACTACAATAATGCTTTAATTTCACAGCCTCCTGAAAGTCAAGAATAACAAGAAGATGAGAAAATGTTACCGACTGCAACCTCAGAGAGCGGAGTTTGTCCTCATAACCACTGAAATTTAATTAAATAAATCTAAATTGGAGCAAAATCTCGAAAGAAATTCAGTCAACTTTTTAATGAAATATCGAAAACTTCTCGAATTCTCTGCAAAAGACCCGTAGCAAAAATCAAATTTCAGAGATGAGGAATGACCAGAATGAAACGCTTGAGAATCCATATGTATTTTAAAATGTAAATGCTTGTAAAAGTAACGAATAAACGCATTAGCAAAAATTCTAACGCACTTTTTCTCATTTTCAAGCTGTAACATACTTCCCCGCTGACTTTCATAAAGAGTTGAACAGTCTAAAAATCACAGTCACTAACGAACGTAATAAAAAACGCAGAAGTTTAAGTCATATTAAAAATAGAGTTTAAGAGCCAAATGACTGTTAAAAAGTGAAAACTTTAAAAAAAAGCAAAAACAGACTTTTCAGCTTCGCCTCCAATGAGACCTTCTCACTTTTCAGCTTCTCCAAAGCATTTTCAAAATCCATTTTCTGCTTCTCCAACGAGGCACTAAGATCTAAACAAAATTAACTGATGACAGCATAAAGAAAGGAATTTTTCTTCGTTCTGAGATTCTTCTGCACACAAAGCTTAAATTTTCGCAATTAAGTACAGAATCTACGAGTTAA